TAACTCATTAAAAAAAAATGAGTAAGCACTTAACAAAAGAGGCTACTCAAATGGTTAAAACCACATGTACCAAAATGACTAAAACTAAAATGACTAAAATAAGTGTTGAAAAGGGTGTGCAAAACTAGAACATTAATTAATAAACTGCTACTGGGGAATATAAATAATACAAATACTTGAGAAACTGGTTGTTGTTGCTGTTGTTAGGTGCCATCCAGTCAGTTCCTACTCATAGTGACTCCACAGAACAAAACACGGTCCAATCTTGGACCATCCTCTCAATTTTTAATATGTTTGAGCCATTGCTGCTGACCTAATGTCAATTAATCTTATTGGGGACCTTCTTCTTTTTCATTTACCATTTTATCATACATGATGTCCTTCTGCAGCAACACTTTACACCTGATAACATGTCTGAAGTGTTAGTCAAAGTCTTGCCATCCTAGCTTCTAGGAAACATTCTGGCTGCCCTTCTTCTAAGACAAATGTGTTCATTCTTCTGACAGCCCATGATACTTTTAATATTCTCCTCCAACACCATAATTCAAATGTTCAAAGTCTTCCTTATTCATTGTACAACATTACATGCATATGAGACCATTGAAGATACCATGGCTTGGGTCAATCTCACCTTAGTCCTTAAACTGGTATATTTGCCCTTGAACACTTGAAAGATATCTTTTCTAGCAGATTTACCTCATGCAATATGTCTTTTGACTTCTTGCCTGACTGCTCCTAAGAGTGTTGACTGTGAATCCAAGAAAAATAAAGTTTTCCTCAACTTCAAAAAGAAAGAAAACAGAATTAAACAAATACCTAACAATGAAAGGAGAAAATAATAGAGAAGAAAAAATAAAACAGACAGCAGCAACAGAAAAAATATATATATATAATTATCAAGACAAAATAAGGGTAGGGAAATGGAGCTGTAGAATAGAAAAATAAGAGAGAAAATAAAAGGAAGAAATAAAAATAAAAATCACATAGAAAACCATAGAGAGGGAAGAGTAAAATAGAGAGTAGAGAGTAGTAAAGAAAGATCAAAAGGAAGAAAAAGAGAAAGAGGGGAAATAAGAAACATAAGAAAAGAAGAACACACAGAGATAAAAAGATAAAATTCATTGGAATGGAAAGAGAAGAAAGAGGAGAAAGATAAACAAAAACAAAGAAATAACAAAAGCCAAAAAAATAAAAACAAACAACAGTGTAGCTGTAGAAACTGAAGAGGAGAAAACTCTGGGGGCTCCTACAAGTCAAGGAGCTCATGAGGTAGGTGTGGGAAGATGTTGACAGCACATTTCTTTTCCCTAGAAGGACTCCTATCAGCTTCAGTGTTGTCTCTGTTCAGGGCACTAAATACAGAAGTAGCTCATGGAAGCCCTTGATGGAGTTGGTTTCAGTGTTTGTTAGGACCACAGAGCAACTGAGGGCAGGGTGACTGATTAAAAATGATAGTCTGGTGGCTTTGTGGGTTCTGTAGATCTGGAGGTGGGCCTGCCTGAATCCAGGCATCAAAGTAGTGCAGTCAGCCACATCACACACTGGCATGGCTTCCAACCACAACTATGTGTTTCCAAACTTTTGGACAGCAGGGTCTGTGCTAGAGATGAATGAATGTGAGAGGTGGTCACATCTCTGGTCTGCATGGAAGCCTGGGGATTCACCTGTGTGAATCTGCTCTGCCAGACCTTCCTCTGTTGCCAAAGTTATTCACAAGATGGTCTCGCTCTCTCACCATCCCTGTTCAGCTTCTCCTCCCAACAAGCAGTCAGTCTACTTCACTAACCTTTTCTTTGAAGTTCAGGGTTCCGAAATTTTCATCTGTGTCTGATTTATTTGGTGAGGCTACTCAAATGGACAAAACCACATGTACCAGAATGACTAAAACTAAAATGACTAAAATAAGTGTTGAAAAGGGTGTGCAAAACTAGTAGTGCCTCTGCCTAGTCTGCCTTCTTTCCAGAAGTCTATACTACATTTATATATATATATATATATATCTCCATTCAAAATGGGTTGCCTTTTGCCTATTGTGAATAATGCTTTAATAAATATTGTTGTTTGAGTCTAAACTGGCTCAGTTTTTAAAGCATGTCTCTTTGGATTGTAATTTGGATCTCAGATTTCAGTATGGGAGACTCAGATTCTAGAAACTCTCTTACATCAGTCCATTTTAAAGGCCTTTTAAATAGGCGTAAAAAGGGATTAAGAAAAGCCAATTTTCAATGTCAATAAATTTGAATACAAATTTGGTTTGTTGTTGTTGTTGTCAGGTGCCATCGAGTCGGAACCGACTCATAGCGACCCCATGCACAGCAGAACGAAACAATGTCCGATCCTGGGCCAACCTACTACCGCTGCCACACTTGAGTCCATCAATGATGCCACCTGGCCAATCCATCTCGTTAGGGGTCTTCCTCTTTTTCTCTGACCCTCCACCTTACCCAGCATGACATCCTTCTCAAGCGACTGTTTCCTCTGGACAATATGTCCAAAGTATGAGAGACGAAGCTTAGCCATCCTGGCCTCCAAGGAGCACTCTGGCTGCACTTCTTCCAAAACAGATCTATTGGTTCTTTTGGCAGTCCATGGCACTTTCAGTATTCTCCTCCAACACCACAACTCAAAGGCATCAATTCTTCTACGATCTTCCTTATTCACTGTCCAGCTTTCGCATCCATATGAGGTTATTGAAAACACCATGGCCTAGGTCAGGTGCACCTTAGTCCTCTAGCTGACATCTCTGCTCTTTAATACTTTAAAAAGTTCCTGTGCAGCAGATTTGCCCAATGCAATATGTCGTCTGATCTCTTGACTGCTGCTTCCGCGAGTGTTGATAGTTGATCCAAGAAGAATAAAGTCCTTGACAACTTCAATCTTTTCTCCATTGATAAGAATGTTGTTTATTGGTCCAGTGGTAAGGATTTTTGTTTTCTTGACATTGAGATGTAATCCATATGGAAGGCTGTGCTCTTTGATCTTCATAAGTAAATGTTTTAAGTCCTCTTCACTTTCAGCAAGCAAGGTTGTATCATGTGCATATCGCAGGTTGTTAATGAGTCTTCCTCCAATCCTGACGCCATGTTTTTCTTCATAGAACCCAGCTTCTCATATTATTTGCTCAGCATACAGGTTGAATAAGTATGGTGAAAGAATACAACCCTGTCTCACACCTTTCCCAATTTTAAAACATTCAGTGTTCCCATGTTCTGTTGGAACAACTGCTTCTTGGTCTAGGTACAGATTTCTCAGAAGTACAATGAAGTGTTCTGTAATACTCATACTTCTCAATGTTGTCCATAGCTTGTCATGATCCACACAATCGAAAGCCTTTGCGTAGTCAATAAAGCACAGGTAAACATCCTTCTGGTATTCTCTGCTTTCAGCCAAGATCCATCGGATGTCAGCAATGATATCTCTCGTTCCACGGCCTCTTCTGAATCCAGCTTGAACCTCTGGAAGTTCTCTGTCAATGTATGGTTGGAGAATCCCAAATATCAGCAAACCACCTTTTGATAATGTAGAGTGGTGTTTAATAATATTCCTGTGAATGTGCAAAGTGTTATTTAATTTTCAAATTACTTTAATCCATTACTCTCACAACATAGTTAAAGTTAATGTGAGATATTTTTCCCAATTTAAAAATGAATAGTTAGATAAAGGTATCATTGAGTTAATAATTTTGTAAGGACTCTTCTTGTAATTAGAATTGTTTTCTCTGAGTCCAGAGTTCTTTTACAATTTCATGCTAAATTTCAGTAAATCAGATGGGCCTTCTCTGCATTTATACCTAGGTGTCTAAAACAAAGGTGAGAATTACTTATGGTATCCCGATTTTCCATTTAAATATCCCATGCTTGCAAATGTATACATTTAAGAACTTCACCCTATTGCTTAAGGGTAGGATTGCTAACATGGGAAATTGTTATTTGCTCCTTCTTTGGCCGAAAGCAGGAGAGGGAGTCAAAAAAGCAAAAGTTAGTAGTGGTACTTACTTTCACCTCATCTTCAGTAGGTGAAAATATAACTCTACAAGGAAACAAAACTCACACTCTTCAGGAAAGATTTCTGGCAACTTCAGTTTCTCTGATAACTCTTCCTAACCATTCAAGTTCATTTGAAAAAAATAAAAATGCAGGACTATGAGAAAATGGCACATTAGGCAGGGATTTTCCTGGGGGTGAGGAAGAGAAAGGAGAAAGACAAAAGTGGAGTAGTGTCTGAAGAAAGCAGGGCTGCGAGTAGAAAGGTGAAGGTGTCCTAACATGATTGGGAGGTTAGGGCTGCAGGATACATGATTTACTAGAAAAAGAGGCAGGATAAATAGAGGATTCTCAGTGGTATTTGGAGATACAAAACCCATTCACCACCCTTAGTTCACTTCTCATAAGGCAGCTATTTTCAAGAACCCCTTCTTTACTAACCCTTCCTTCTACTATTATAAAAACTATAGCCTCTAACACAAAATCAAAACTTATACAGCTAATGATTTTTCCCCTTCATTCCATGGTACAAAGATCTAATTATGTTTGATAAGCTCAGCTAAGAACACAGAACCTAATGTTTCCCCTTTTTGCCATACAAATCAAATTGTTTCCATTCATCAAAACATGTTGTTAGTTGCTGTGGAGTCTATTATGACTCTTGGCAGTCACCTGTGTGGACAGTAGAACTGCTCCATAGGGTTTTCAAGGTTGTGAACCTTTGGGAGAAAATCATTAGCCCTATCTTCCAAGGCATCTCTGGCTAGGTTCAAAACACCACCAAATGTCATCTAGCAGTGCAGCTCTTAGCCATTTGTGCCAAGCCAAGTAGTTTGTTGAAATTTCATTTTGCAGAATGAATTCCACATTTATTTCTTTCCCACTTAATCTTCAGGTGAAGAGCAATTTTTGTATTTTCATGTTGAAGGCTGGTGACCCATGACAGCTGGAGTTTTTGCATGGCTACAATATCCCCAAATCAAACGAATTCAGTCCAGCATACTATCTTTATTTCAGGCTTCTCAAAGAGCATCTTGGAGAAAAAGAAGTTGAGTTGGCACTCATCTTTGACTCAGTGGTGGAAGCTGACCTGGCGAATTATACCTGCCATGTAGAAAACCGAAATGGAAGGAAACATGCCAGTGTTCTGCTCCGTAAAAAAGGTATTTATTTTTCACTATGGTTTAGCTACAAAGTAACTATTGAAGTGAAAACTGGTATTTTTCCGGGCCTTATTTTGTCATTTAGCATAAACTTCTATTAACCATTTTTTGCCTTTTTAAGAAGTAGTTTCTTGCTTGTTGTGGATATTAGTGTAAAATGACTCTGTACATTAATGTCATTGATTGGTTGGTTGGTTATGTGCTGTGGAGTTGGTTCTGACTCATTGCGACCCTGTATAGGGTTTCCAAGACTGTAAATTTTTACTGGAGCAGAAAGCCTCATTTTTCTCCTGTGGAACTGCTGGTAGTTTTGAACTGCTGACCTTGAGATTAGCAGCCCAATTCATAACCACTATAAAGAAAATGGAATATTGTTATGTCTTAAATCAAGTGAGATCAAATATACCTTTATTATAAATGTTACATAAAATTTGATAAATGTTGCCATCCAATATTTCTTCCATGTGTCACCTTCTTATATTGCTTGAATGAAATACAAGGGATTTTACTATTGAAATAGAACAAAGTAACTTTTTAATTCCCTAACTAAAAAATAAAAAGAATGAATGGTACCAGTGAATACTATTGTTGTTGTGTGCTGTCAAGTTCGTTCCAACTCATACCAATGAATTGTTATTGTTGTTAAGTGTTGTCTAGTCGGTCGTGACTCCTAGGGACCCTGTCTACGATTTCTGAGGAGCAGCTAGTGGGTTTGTACCACTGGCATTGCAGTTCACACTGAATTTACGGTCCTGTGCATTATCCTGCAGCACCACACCAGGACTCCATATAATATCCTTACAAATGTTTTCACATAGATTATAAGCACTATTTCATAATATGTCTCCTTGTTAAGAAGCCTTTAATAGATGAGTATGTTTTCAAATAATTTAATTTTATGGAGATCAATCTTTAAAATTTGATCTAGATTTTTGGGTGGGGGACATTGTTGTAATATACAAACAAAAGAAATTATGAATTTACAGAGAAGAAAGATAAAAGAAGACATATGGACAACAATCTCATCAGCTATAGCTTGCCATAACTCTTGATTATGACAGAAGACGAAATACTTTCTGAGTGTTTATCTGGCAATGGTTTTGTAAGTTTACTAGAACAAATGTTCTCAGTGTTCTTATTGTCTAGACTATGTTGTTGTTAAGTGCCATTGAATCTATTCTGACACGTAGTGACCCTGTATAGAGTTTTCAAGGAGCAGCTGGTGAGATTGAACTACCAACCTTGCAGTTCCAACGGCTTTGCAGTCTGGCATATTAACCCACAGCGCCACACCAGGACTCTAGGCTATAGAGCCCCACTAAAAAACCACTACCATAAATTCAAGTCTAACTCACAGTGACCGAGTTGATTCCAACTCATAGCAACCCTATATAGTGTTTCCAAGGTTGTAAATTTTTACAGGGCCAGAAAGCCTCATCTTCTGTCCTGTGAAGCTGTGACTGGTAGGTTTGAACAGCCAACCTGGCGGTTAACAGTCCAGTGTATATCCTACAGCATCAACAGAGCTCATTACTTTAGGCTATAGAGCATTAGTATAACAGAGTTAATCAATAATGTTACTAGTTCTCAGGACTTATCTAAGGTATGGCTGGTATGGTATGTGCCCTAGGCGACAGTTGAAGGGGGCACCACGGAGCAGTTTCTATGAAGACTATAAGTCCCATCCTCCTTCCTCAAGCACATTAGACACCCAGACATAGCGAGGGAAGAAAGAGGAGGGGATCTTCTCCTGTGCATGTCCAAGAGGTCACCAGATCAGCCTTGGAATAGCATTTCATTCTGAGGTGCCTCAAATATGAAAGCAGGGAAGGAGTATTTGTTGATAAGTTACTACAGCCAATGCATCATATCTATCCATATTTATTCATCTCAAAATTGGTTTGGGGTGCAATTTAGCCTTGCTACATCCTACAGGGATACAATTTCAGTGCTTACCATAGACACTATTTTCCATAGATATGTCTTTGTTCGTTTTGTGACTCTTGGCCTGGATAGAATTTTTATTTCTATCTAGACCTAATACTTGATCTTGGCAAGCAGTTCTAGAAGAAGCATGGAAATGTTATTATTCTGAAAATAATGCTTTTATCTCTCTTGTTCCATTTTGTATTGTATTGGACTTAATTCCATCTTAATACATTTAAAGTTGAAAGAGTCATATATAGAGATTTAACTCAGGCGCTCTTGCATTTGGAGATGAATCTTTTAGGCTTTTATCACATCACTTGGCCTCAGTGAATGTAGTACTCCCACCTGGGATACAAGTATAGCTTGTTTTATGGAGCAACAACTTCCTGATGTGCTGTAAGTCAAACATTTAAAATGCCTTAAGCTATCATTATAGAGAAGAAACACATGATGAATCCTTTCGTAAAGTGAAAAGGTCTATTGTGAAATGAAAACTCCTAATACAAGAGGGTTTCAAAAACATCAAGGAAAAATTAAATGAAAAGACAATGGACTTTTTCCATGAACTTTTTGAAGCCTCCTCATGTACCAGATTGTCAGGTTCAGATTTTCTAAACGTATGACACTCCTTACCTATGCACCTTCTATCTACCTACTTTCTCACTCCCAGATGGATTTCCCAGTAAGTACAACTAACATTTTACTAAGAGGAATTTATGCTAAAGAACTTTTGATCATTATTTTTTCTTTTCTGCACATACTCCCTTTTCCTTAAAGCAGAACTTTATCACTTAATCTCTTCATTCCTAGTGCAGCTGCTCTACTCTGACCCTAAATGTATATAGGAAGCCCTAAGGTTGAATCTCCAAACCTGCCTTTCCAATTTATGAGTCAAAGAAACAAGCTCATTATCTCAAGACATTTGCAGCCTTCCTTTGCTGCAATCCCTTGGCCTCAGCTGCTATTTTGGCCCATTCTCCAGTATCTGATCTTTGTGTTCACAGTGGAGAAATAGTTGGGTCAAACTAGGAAGGTTAAAAAGAACTATGCTTGTACTTTGGGTGCCTGGAAAAAGTCACAACCCCATAAATATTTGCTGTTCTGGCTACAGAGATCCTTCAGAAGTATATATAAGATTCAGTCCAAATAAAATGATTTTCAGCCTCTCAGTCAGGAAATGTCTCTGGAAGTATAGATCCTGCTGAGATGGAAAATGGCAGCTGAAAACAGAAGTCAGGAGAAAAGCCAGGTGTCATTTAGGTGATGGCAATTCTGCCCTCTGATTATAGGCTAGCTGTTTCCTTTTGATGTGACTGCCTGGGCTGAATCAAATAATCCTGGTTGAGTCACAGAGTCTAGGTCCACTGTTTTTAACTTAAATGGTCATCATTAGATAATATCTTTCAGAGACATTTTTATAAAATGGGCCTCAAACCACAAAGGTTCTTTTCACATCGCAGTTTTCTTCCATAAATTTACTACCAAAAAAAAAGGTGTCTGTTACTTGGGAGTGCAAATTGTTCCTGATGCTGAAGTTTTCCATCCACCTAATAGCAACTCTACTCGGTAAATAACAGAAATTCCCATTCGGTGACTTTGAAAACAGTTGAAAGCTGTTCTGGCCAAAGAGAGAGAGCAAAAAAAAAAAAAAAAATTAGAGTGTAAAATGAACATTTTTTTTTCAGAACAGGAAAAAAAAAGAAAACAGGTTGAATGAAGTCAATCAATAGCCTAAGATGAAGATGAACGAGAAGTCAGTTTTCAGAGTAGAAAAAAAAAAAAAAAAAGTATTGTTTTGTCAATTCCACACTGGCTATTAAGAATGTATAATTGATGGAAGATGGTGAGAAAACAAGCTCAAATTGTGATATTGCAGTCTCACAGAGGTCTCATAAGCAAGCCTGTCTTATTACCACCCACATAGAAGTAGACAGTGGTTCCTGGGGAGCCACGTTTTATATTGAAGCCAGTAGGCAGAACTAATCTGTGGTGGGATTTTTTTTTTCCTTACCTGAAAGTTTTTGGCTTAATTTACAAAGTGACCACCACTTGCAGCAGGCAGGACAAAGATATATTGATTGCAATTTCCTATCCTTAATCATTTTGTGCATCTCTGTCTCCTAGTAATGTTCCTTATTAACATATCTTATCCCTCACTGCAGCCTTGTTCCCTTCCTCTCTCCATTCCCCACCCCACCCTATACCCCATCTCCTTATTCAGAGAGCGTCATTTATTCATAATTGTTACATATATACATCATGGCTGTCCTGACCACCTCATCTCCTTTCTCACTCTATGTCCTTTCCAATACCAAATATTCTCTCCCCCACAAAACTTAACACTCTTCTTACATTGGACTACAGGAAGCCTCTCCTTCTTGGCTATAGTTACAAAATTCCCAGGACCCTCCAGTGAAGTGTAGAAAATCTGTCTTGTCATTTCTTTCAGACTGGTGAATTGTAGTTTACCTTCTTCCCCTGGATCTGAAAAGGAAGAAGGTGACAAAATTCATTATAAGTCAAAAGTTCTTGGGAAAAGTTACCAACAGTTCTATGTCAGAAATGGGAGACTTTCAATTGTTCTTTTCCAGGTTGGAGCTTATAAAGCGATGGTGTAATACAAAAATGCTTTGATTTTGAGGTTAGGAGACCTGGGCTCAATTACGATCTTTGTTACTGCTTAGGTATATGATCTTGGGAAATGGACTTAGATTCCTGAGTTTTAGCTTCTTCATCTATAAATGTTCTTGCTGTTATTAACTGCTGTTGGGTAGGCTCTGACTCATAGCACTCCTGTGTAATGTTTCTAAGGAGTGGCTGATGGATTTGAACGACCAACATTGTGGTTATATGGACTAATAATTCTTACCCTAAAGGATTATTTAGAGAAGAGACTTACGGAAGTTTTTATTTGTAATATACATATAATTTATAATACATGTTTTTCTTATAAACTGTAAAATGTGAGACAGATCCTAATTATTTTATTGAATCTGACAAATTTTTCTTAACAAATAAGTCTATATAGAAGTAAGGGAAATCCCTAGGGCAAGGTTGACAATCTATCATGGCCAGAAATTTGATTTTGATAGTAATCCAGAAGTGATCCATTTGAGGAAACTGACTGATGCCAACCAAACTCGAAGGCAACTGGAAGTACAAACTAGAAAGTCACTCCCTTTCCCAGTTTCTAGTTACATGGTAAGAGGAATTAGATTTTTTTTTTTTTTTTATGTTTCTTGGTAATTATAAATTTAGATTAAATTGAGATTAGCTACTCTTATAAAAATTGCATAAATAGAATATTGAAACCAAAGAAATTTCCTTGTCCCACAGTGGAAAATATGTTCCTGGTCTGGTGTCTTACCCTTTTTTGATAATACATTTTTAGATTTGTTAAAATAACTAATTAAGCTACAGGAAAGTCACTGTCCCTTGAGCCTGAGAGACACTATGTGTCTTTCCATTATGTATTGATTTAATTGTTTTAGTTCTCACAATTCTAGGGATGCCTTAGTGGAGCAGCCTATGGCTGTATCATGTAGACAGTTTTAGCTGAATAGTCTAATTAACCCGTATTTATCACTCTTTTTTTAGCTCCAGTGTCTATATTAAATCACATATATATTATAGTCATTTATTCAAATAAATAGGGATAAACTAAATTCTCCTTCTTACCTTATATTGTATTATGTGCTACTGGGGTTAAATGAAACAGTTAAATCCTGCAAGCTCATTAGATTTTATTTGATTATGATACTATTCCCCTGTAGAAAAATTGGACCTGTGGCTTAAGATGTACTAGTCAATAATCATGCTAAACCAATAAGATAATTTAACAGAAACAACAAAATATTGGCCTTGGTCCCAGGATAAGATTACCCTAATAGTTCCCTGAATACACTTTAAGCCAGAATATGCATGTGAAAATCTAGTTGTATTCAAAATAAATTGGGAATGACTGTTCCTATTCAAATGGATTTACCACCTTCCATAGGATATTACTGGAATCTTTAGAAGAGAATAAATTCTACAAAATTTGATTTATACAAATTAATCAAGAGCAAAGGTACTGTGTTAAACAAGAATCATCTGGGAAAATAAAAACAAAACAAAACAAAAACAGGATGGGTTCTTAAAGATGTTGGAAATATCGGAAGATCCCAAGTGTTCCTGATTTAATTACCATTTCCTGTTTATTCTATTTGTTCCAGATTTAATCTACAAAATCGAGCTTGCAGGAGGCCTGGGAGCAATCTTCCTCCTCCTTGTATTGTTAGTGGTCATCTACAAATGCTACAACATTGAATTGATGCTCTTCTACCGGCAGCATTTTGGAGGTGATGAAACTACTGATGGTAGGCTGTCTCCTATTGTTCAAATCCAATTAAAATGCATGTGTTGATGAGTATGTGAGAGACTCTCTTTATTCTTAGAGAATACACACTAAAGTTTTAGGAGTAAATGGCAAGGCACACTCAACTAACACATAAATGGTAGTTGTGGTGGTTATGTGCCTTGCAGTCGATTCTGACTCAGCAACACTGTATGAGGTTTCCAAGGCTGTAAATCTTTATGGGAGCAGAAAGCCTAATCTTTCTCCTGTGAAACAGCTGGTAGATTCAAACTGCTAACTTTGTGGATAGAAGTCCAACTCCTTAACTCTTAAATACTTCAGGAAAAACAAAATTTTGAATCACTATAGCAATGAGCAAATAAAAGAAAATATTAACATGAATTGAGGTGATTGTGAATATGGGTGTTCTTTGAAATGTTTTCTGCAATATCTCTGTATGTTTTAAATTATTTCCAAATGAAATGCCTAATAAGAAAACGTCACTAGTTGGTCAGAAGATAAAAAAAAAAAAAAAATGCTGCTAAATCTCTTTCCCTTAGTAACAAAAAAATTAAGACTCAATTCTATTTTTTGCCCTCCAGAATATTAAAATTTAGGTAGAAAGATTTATAACCATTCCTGACAGAAAAAATACATCAATTATGTAAGAAATAGATGAAAAATTGTGGAGATATGCCTTTTAAATTTCAAAAGACATTTGTACCCACATATTTTGGATGATTGTAACACTATTCTCAAAGGTGGCCTCAAAGGATAGAAATTCAGAATATGTCTTCTAGTTTTTGTGTGCTTAACATTTGTAACTTGAGAGTCTTAAGAATGAAATATCAATAAAGCATTATACTGAGCCTTGTTTCTTTGCCCATTCAAAAATTGATTTGTTTAAAAAGAGCAAGTTATCTATATCAATAAGAAAACATGGCATACTGCTACTTGTGCACAATCTACTTTAATCTAACAAGTGTTCGAATGCCTTAAGTCAATCAAGATGGGAAAAAAAATAGTCAATTGGAAGTCATTACTTTACAAAGGCAGATATAAAAATTGGTTTTCACACTCAACAAAATAGGAATTGAAGGAAAATTCCTCAACATAATAAAGAGCTTATATACAAAACCAACAGCCTATATTACTCTCAATGGAAAGAAATTGAAAGCCTTCCCTCTGCGATCAGGAACCAGACAAGGATGCCCTCTGTCACCGCTTCTATTCAATATGGTGGTGGAAGTCTTAGCAAGAGCTACACGGCAAGACAGGGAAATTAAAGGCATCCAAATTGGCAAAGAGGAAGTAAAACTCTCCCTATTTGTAGACGATATGATCCTATATGTAGAAAACCCCAAAGACTCAGTAAAAAAGCTACTAGACCTCATTGGAAGATTCAGCAAAGTG